ACAACAATCAATGCCCACCGCCACTCAGAAATTCATACAATAATAACATGCAAAGCCTACCTGCACTTGAAAATTCATACTATAACAATAATCAATGCCAACAACCGCTGGGAAATCCATACTATACCAAGAATCAAGGCCAACCACCGCTGGAAAAATTAAGTTTAAAGCAATGTAAATACGATAGCTAACGTCTGGATTTATCATTTTCATATAAAAACATTATTTAACTAAAACCTTCAATAGAATTCGACATCGTCTGCCATTCGCCATGTTCTTGTCATTAAAGGGAAGTAACTTTTCCACTTCCGGAACTGGTACCATTGGAAGTATACAACGTTGCGCCTACTGCTGCGTAAGTCTCGAGAACAGTTATGTTTTCCAAAATATCGCGATAAGAGCAGGAGACAAAAAACCACCGCTTATATAAGTCCTTCCAAATTTTTTTAGAAATAAACATAAAAAAATAACACAATGAAACCGATAGCCAATAAGTGGACCAACAACCAACAATACTGATTTTCTCAACATTTCAACAACCAATGGGATATTTTAAATTGCCGTCTAGCCCTGGTACATTTTTTCAATGGAATAGCTCTACCAATTACATATGCAATGATGTGAGAATTTAAGATAATGATTAAATGACGGTAAATTATTATAATATTTTGAAACTAACCTGATCAGTCAACCAATTATTGCTAAAAAGTGAAGTGATATCAGCATCTGTAACATTCCCACCATAAACTTTGGTAAGGATGTAATGAGTTTTCAATTGACTGATTTTTTCTCAGCAGGTTAGATACTAAAATTGTAAGGACTGAGATAATATAATTAAGCATTCCATTATCAACAATGAAATTGAATGGTAACATGTCAGCAAACATTGTTAAATATTGAAAAAAAAAAACACAAGAAGATCTAGTATTACATCTAACTAAGTTTATCCAAACTATTTTCGCAAAGAATTCCGCATAAGACGGTGCTAGGGGCAGTCTTGAACTTGCAGAGAGGTGAGAGTTTTTTTTTTGCTCCGTTTTGAAGGCCTCATTGTGCCTTTGAGATGAAGAACAGCATTAAAAGAGCTGTTCCTTTGCTTTTGTGTATTTGTTGCTGTGCATGTACTGATCTCCATTCGAACAATAAGCATGTAGATTACATGCATTGTCGTAAACAACAGTTGTTGGAGCTGTAAAATATATTGAGAAAATCTTGACACACAAATTATTATAGCAAGGATGAAATTATTAAATTGCCAGCAAGACAATTTTTGGCAACATAAATATAAAAAAAAATAATTCCAAGCACTTATGAATTCAGAAGCCATTACATATTCATTTACCTTCCCCACCGACTTGTGTTTTGGTATGCAAAATAGTGTAATTTCCTGACAGATGCAACTGTTTTTTTTAACCTCATTTAATACTTTCAATTTTCACATGACATTGTACTGATTTCCGTACCTTTTTCGTATCTTGTCCTCAGAAAATGAAATGGCACTTTTGCCGACTCATTGTTTTCCCTTAATTGAAAACCATAGCAAATTCTTACAATTACAAGACACAATACACATAATAACAATATCCAATGATAAATACTAACTAATATACATGTTCAAATAATTTCTGAATCATGCATTTTCTGAACTGGCAAGAATAGTTGCATTGAAAGCTCATAAACTAATCACGCTAGTTGGTCAGTGTCATTTATAATCATCAAGAGTTGTCTTCTCTAAATATTAGTTCTTGTTTGAAAGAATAATTCTTCACACATTTTTTTTGTCCCTTCATTGTCCTTTCAATTTATTTTTAGTGTGTTGCAATGGGGGCTTTAGGATAAATTCATCTGTACTGTCTTTGATGGATGTATAAATCTGTTTGAGATACAATTTTGACATGTTTAAGTACAGTGTGTCGTTGAATGCATTATGAATGTACTAAGTATCTAAGCATACAATTTCTTACAATGCTTACAAAATACAATAAATATCACAGGCAGTAAGGTAAGTGTCTTGTTGAATCCTTTTACAAAAATCTGCCTCCTTTCGAAACTTGTCAGCCTTTTACAGTCTCCTATCTCTTATTTGTTTTTAAAAGTTGAAACTACTCTGAAACTTCATCATCTTTTGCATATTGCTTTTAGTAGTCCAATGTCTTTTATAATTTCATACAGGAGAGGAAAATGTAGTTGTATCGTCATCAAAGGTCGCTGTTTCCGGCTCCGGGACAGAGCTTATTTTTAAACAATTTCTCCTGGAATACTGTTCCGTATCATCAATACGAAGTTCAAGTGCGTTAATACGATTTTGAAGTTCATCAAATGCATCTGATCTGAAAACATCTATTAGACAATTTCGAATAGTTTGATTTGTTAGCAGTTCATCTGCAAGAACCTTTATAGAATTTTCATCTCTTGGGACAGATTGGATAAAGTTGGCTATTTCATACACATTGGAATCAGATTCACGTATACGCTGACGTTTGACCGCAGATTTCGATCGGTTTCTCTGTGATGTTCTAATGGCTGACTGGTTGTGTTTGAAACAACCCCTCCTCTGGAATTTATAACTGTAGGTCGTTTTATTAGGAATTCGGTTGAACTGTGCGTCTGAACTTTCTGTTGATGATCATACACTTGAAACTAACAAGTAGATAACTACCCAACTATGATAAAAATCCTTTCTGTGATCTATTGACTTCTTCGCTAACGATACGCGTAACATTATTTTCCTCGGTCAGTAAACTTGTTGTTTTATCGATATCTTTATAACCATTGAAAAAGTAACATACATTTAGTGCTCAAATCATCAGTATTTGAGACGTCCTCTTTTAGTTGATTTGAATTTGCGAAATAGAAATACATGTATAGTCCAAGGAAGAACTTAATAAACTAGCGTCTTCTTGCTTCTTGTGTATCATATACACGTGATATATACTGAGATTCTTATGCATAATACTATTCTACACATAAATAACAAGTATGTATTGGAAAAAATAGAATAACAAAAATACTGAACTACGAGGAAAATTCAAAACGGAAAGTCCCTAATCAAATGACAAAATCGAAAGCTCAAACACATCAAACGAATTGTTAACAAGTAATTTTCTAGGTAAAGGCTTTTTCTAATGTAGAAAATGGTAGATTAAAGTGTTATTAAAATCATTCTTGTTTGAATAAAGATACCTGAATTTTATGATTTTATAGAATTAGTAATAAAAAAAAGAGTATAGGTTTGGTAAACTTGCTATTTGCGAGAGTAACTTTTCAGACTTGCATACAAATGCAAGTTCTGTCCTTTGCCTTATGTAAGCTTTCCATTGGGTTGAACCATGTATAACTACCTCTCTCTGCTCTGTGTCACAAACAGTGCAGAATTTTGAACAAAATAAAAACATATCCAAGTCATTTTCTTGGTACAGGCATTTTCTAATATCCGACTATCTGTTCTAATCATGGTTACCCTGAGATACAACTTAAAGAGAATGTGTAAGGCGTTTGAAGTTGTAACAGAACTAGATGATGACTGGTTGAATGGTGCTAAGGGATTTGATGAATGTTTAATCTGGCTGATACTAGAAAACGGAATAAATGATGCTACATGTGTTGTCAATTTTGATATTTAAATAGATAAAGTATAATTTTTTTTTGTGATCGTATGTTATTTATACCAATCGCTCCTGCTTATTCAAGAAGAGGAAAACGAGCATTTTGAAAGCAGTTCGGTGGTTGTTTTTACGTTTTCCATGCATTTGTTACCATATGTACGGGGTGTGACTTTCTTAGCTACTTTGATAACACTATCAGTTGTTGTGTCTATCTCCGTTATAGATTTCTGTACCAACTGACTACGCTAATGTCCATTGAGATTACGAATTATCCACTGGTTGAATTACGGCAATGGTGTTTGGTGGCAGAAATTCTTGAATTACATGTTCTAGCCTGTCAGCAACATCTTTTTTTGGTGGGCGCTACAGTTGTCGACCAGCGTGAGTATTTTGCGGGTTTGACCATAGCCAGAAATTAGTAGTACTTTTGCTAATCAATATTCATAATATGTAAATGAGAATTGTACCACGTGATAATAGTTTGAACTGGACTGGCTTGATATCATTAAAATCTTTAAAACACGGATATTATAAGTTGCCCGTCACAGAGTCCTTGTTTATAACCACTCTGATATTTCCGTAAAGTTGTCAGGCGGTCAAAATCAAAACAATGAACGCGAATTTAGTTACTTTTTCGTGTTTTCGTGAGTTTATTCTTCTTGAAATAGAGGCATTTTAACTTTACGTGGGAACCTAAAGTTCAACGACTACACATACAAGGTTTGGACTTGCTTATTCTTTGGACATTTAATTTTCAAGTTTCACCCCGGCAACCTGTATTTCTAATGACCTTGTTAGCCAATTTTCAACACGAAGTTTGCAAATTTGACGTTTCAGCCATTTTAGCCTGTATTTTATACTGCAATGTTAAAAGCTTCTCGCTTCGATTTTTCAAATAGCTCAGGAACCTTGATTTTTGCAACGCCAGTCATTATATTTCGTTTAAATTGTGTATATTGTTGTGTATATTTATTTTCTGCCCCGGCAACCTGTCTATCACTTAAATCAAAGTTAAAACAGACATTTTTTCTAAATTCCCTATCATTTCAATATAATTTCCGTGACCCGTATCCGATTTCTTTAGTATAATATTCAAATAAGCAAAGTGGCGTTGATTTCTGGATATGCGGTGCACATCTTTGTTCAGCTCTCTCAACCATTCGATGAAAATCTCAGCTGTCATCTATGAGTTATTAATGTTTTTATATATAACCGATAGACTTTTTTAACCCCTCAGTCGTTAATGTTGCTAATTACAAGTAGTTTACACTTCTCAGTACCAGTCATGTTGCATGTTACTATTGTAGACTTTTGCTGCCTTCATTATCATCGTTTTCGAGTCGTGTGCCATCCGGAAGTGATGTCTCAAATATAATGTTTAAACACTTACGCAATGAATATATAAGACACTTTCCAATTTCCACTCTTCTTGCTGTGTTAACATTTACAGGTCTCTTTGTTTCTTCATTCATCAGGTGTCTTTTAATAAACTACAAAAAAGAGAATAAGGAAGTTTCTAAACAATTCAATATGAATTAATGAGAGTGTTTTTAAATAGTGTATGCATCCATGCCAATTACAGAAACCAAGTTCACAAGAAATACGAATGAAGCAGCAACAATAACTACCGGTTAGTCATATATAAAAACAACAATACATCAAGAAATCAAGAAATAAAAATCAATGAAAATTTATTTGAATATGGTTGATTGTTGTTGGTTGCTTAACATCCAGTGGCAAATATTTCATGCATGTTCAGGACCAGAACAAGTTAACAATAAATACAATAGGTAGGTCTTGTATTAGAGGCCATCCAGGATGATGGTCGGGGAAATTCGGACTGCCACTGGAAAATGAGGGTATATTGGATAGGGACAGAAATTTTGCCTTGCAACAGGCCACCTACGGACCCCTCAAAGAATTGTTGCAAGGGTTCTTAACGTTCAAAGAGCGTGACACTCTCTTTACACGAGGCATCGGATTTAGCGGTTAAAAAATAAATTGTGTATATAACGACTTCGATTACCAATGTGGTGTGTTGTACATGCATGTGTTTCTCTCCAGTAGGTAATTCCCTCTGCTTTTAGTCTGTATGGCCTCTCATGAACATATTGTGACCACTTTATGCCAATTTTAACACAGTTGATTGTTCTTTATCGATTTTTTCTTGTATAAATTTCCGTTATACGTATCAGCTTACGCTTTTAAGAAACACCACCCTTTTTCGGAAAGTATCGGATTTTATTAAATTTGACTATCAAAAGACCAAAAAGACTTGAAAGGAAAATATTTACAGCGCAGTAAAATTTCAAACTTCCGGTCAGGAATGTTGTCCGGTTGTTCTCAACAGGTAACAGAATGATCAAAAACAGAAAACAAAATATGCAATTGTCACTTTGACTTGCTGCTCACATCTCAACCTTTATGACGTATTTACTCAAATGGACTAAACTGAGAAAAAAAATAATGGTAGAAGCATTCATGAATTTGAAATGTAAAATGTATGTCAAACAGATTTGCAAGTTACTTGTGGCTAGTATTGCAGTTTACTATAGTAAGGAATGTATTTACCTTGGATGTGTAGAGAAAACTGATCTTGGTTAGTTCTTCTGTCATTAGGTGACTGAAAGGTAATGTCACATGGTCTCCAAAGAGGTCTAAATACATCATTTCCATAATACCCTCTCCCAAGAAAGTGTTGCTCCTTCTTCACTGAAACACGAAAAGGTTGCCATTAAAAGCTGATAATTGATAAATGATTACAGTTATAATAACTTGAAGGTACTGTAAAGGCTAAAGAGTATGTTAAGAAGACACTTGGTGGACAAGATTTCTGAGAATGGTACCACAAGGCAATTATACCATCCTCTTATTTGTGAACCAAACACTAAACATTTACATAGCTTTCAAGAATTGCATTAAACATCTGTTTATAGTTATTTCTGAAAGCTATTTAAAAATAAAATTGTCACGCATGAATATTTAAAATATCTAAACAAACTCTTAGTTTAGAAACATAATTGCACTTTTCATAAGTTTGTCATTTATTTCTCTATAATCCAGTATCAGACTATACATTTGCAAATTAAATATATTGGTACATAGCTTTAGATCCATCCAATCATTTTATAATAGACAATTAATGGGGAGAATAAGGCATCAAAAATGTCTTAACTCTTACACATTAACTATAAAATATAAATGTTCCACGTCAGGAACCGTTAAATAAGTGCATTTTACAATATTATTTTATTTTTTTAGCCTAAAAAAGGTCCGACCATTTTTTTGACTCGCTACGCTCGGCGAAAGATTCTATTCTACGCCCCTTTCAAAAATCCTGGATCTGCCCCTGGCACTAATCTATTTTTATTATCAAATAATCACCTTTTAATCCAGATTTGGAAAAGGGCAGATGATGTAATTTACTTAAAGGAAATTAACATAAACCAAATTGCAAAAACGACTAAAAAAGGCAAAGTTCAATCAGTTTTATTTATTGTGGGAAAGTAATGAAAATAAAAATACTTATCAAATGCATAAAGTCCCAGTATAAAGCATGTACTACACAATAGGACAAATGGATAGGTTTAAAGGGGAGACTAGTTGTCAAAAGGAGATTAAAAAAAAACAATAATTGGTAAACTTAATACAGTACTTACATCATCTGTAGCGAAATTTATATAAAGTTTGATTTTAAGAACCCCAAGGCATCACAAAAAGATTTTGTAGGAAGGTGACATTCCAGGTTTAAAACGAATTTCAAAGGCAATTTAAGGATTTGATGGTGTTGCTGGCCATAAATTGTATCAAAATAGAGTTGCTGCTGCAGCTTCACATCTACATTCTGTTCCTAAATGAATAAAGGATGAGTTATAAAAGTATTCTGATGTTCTAAATACTATTGTATTTTAAATGCCAGTCTTTGTAAGAATCACAAATCATGGTCAGAAAACAATTTGCCAACCTAGTCTAAAAAAAGTTACTCTCATCCTGAGTAGAATTTGGTGAATCTTTTGACCTGTGATTTGGTAATTTAAATGATGGTTGAGTAGTAGCAAATGACAGAGTTATCTTCCCTTAAATATTAATTTCTAGTGTAATTCAATCAAATTGTATCTTATATTACCAGAACTGGAGAAGGAAATGCATGTTATTTTCATGCATTACTACATATCATAAACTCATATACATGTTAACTTGAGTGGGTTAATGATTGTCACGTTTATCCCATTGCTTGATTCTTAGGCAGACTGGAACTTAATTGCTTTTCTTAACATTACATATAATGGTTTATCTAATAATATATAACAAAAAATCTAACATATATTTATATGATTGTAAGTTTTGTCAAAGTACTACATGTAGCAAGACACATTACAACAGATATAAAAAAAACATACCTTTCATATCAACAGCAGAAAATATGGCTGCAAAATGCCTGGTCACAATTGGGGTATTTTCTTGTTAGCACATTTAACTAACTTTATTGTACATACATAGATCCCTTAGAAAAGAAAGCAAAAATAGAGATTTTGGTTATCCCCTTAACTATGAGTTAAGACAAATACATAATTTAACTGTATAGATGATGATGGATAGCTGCTTAATGTCGAGCGGCGAATTAATATACATATTCAGAACGAGAACATGTAAATGCAATTTGAATATTAATCATGCTTTGATCTAGACCGATACGCTGAGCCAAATTTTTAATGTGCTAGTTCTGAAGGTAACAGTTCACAGGTAGACATTTCACCTTACCCGGACTTACTCTGATAAAGATCCAATTATTTGTATTGTTATAGTTGTTAAAGTTTGATAGCTCTGTGTTTGCCTGACTCAATCAATTTGGTCCTAAAGATTTTCTAGTAAAAATCAAAATGCTGCAGACTTTGACATTGAATCATTTTGTACATGCAGTATAAAATTTTAAAACTAGTCTCATTTTGGATTACTTAATGCATTTCAAGTCAATGAGTTTGGGAATTTTAAAATATAATTTTGCGATTTTTATATTTAAGGCCCTTAACGCCTACTTTTGACTGTGTAAAAACTGCAAAAGACAGCAGTATAAAGTTTCGAAATAACATATCAAAATTTTGATTCCGTTTAAATGGTAAAATAATTTGGACTAACCTTCCATTGGTGTGGTTTGTGAAATAAAATATTCCTGTGGACTCTCTCAAAACAGCTAGAACAATAATACACTTGAGGCCCACAATGTTGACAAAAAATAAGGTCGGGTTTTACATCACTACAAAACCCACACTAGTGTGTTGCTGGACTAAACTCCTGCAGTCTAGTTAATATCAAACCTTCTCGTAGTCCCTCCCATGCTTCAATGAGCTTCTTTTTCTTTCCTGCATAGCTATTTTTATCTGGTATTTCTGGATCATGATCATGTTCATTTGTGTGCTCTAAATCTGCATAAGAGAATAAAAAGGTTTGTATATCTCTTCAAAACAAAATTCTAGATAAAAAAATAAATAAATATAAGATCTAGTAAAAGCTAGATCTGTATAATGCTCATTGTTACTAAGAGCCCAAAACCTAATCTGTGTACCTAGGATCTCACATCATTATTGAAACTTCTAATGAATTAACAAAATCTATCCTAATAATTGAGGAAAAGTTACGGTCTATTGGCAATACTAGTTTATAAAATATATTCAACAAACCATAGGAATTATGAATTTGTAATATTAACAAAAGCCAGATCTATAATGCATGAAAATGATGATAAACCTTTACAAATTAAAGTATTAAGTTTTTATTTTCATTGCTTAATTATTCGTGTTTGAATGCCACTTTAAAGGACACTTAGACTATTTCATTGCCGCTAGATTTTAAACCATGAAAACCTTACGTGAAAACTAACAATCCTAGTAAATTAAGGTTGAAGTCCAGTGCATCCACACACACGGGGTTAAACTCACAACCTTGTTTAGAAAGAATATCGGGTTTATTAAGTCCCTAATTTAATTTCGAAATTTAAATTGATCAAATTTAATTACGGCTGCTGTAAGTGAAAAGCCCAAAGGCTAACCTTTCATTTTTGTAAAATTTCAGCTCTGAAACTTAATGAATAATATATATTCACATTCAAACCCTGCCAAAACCTTTATGTATGATACATCTAAACCAGTAATTAAATATTGTTTAATTGCCTACATCAGTGTACCAGTATGTTTTGAAGATGTTAAAAGAGGGGGCAACATATTTCCCTTTATCTTACTGGTGATTCAGTAAAATCAATTCTTGAAGCAACAATATACCTCTAGCCTCTCTCAAACCTACTAATATCCAATTTATGCTTAAAAAATGTTATTTTTGAAATCTCAAGAAGAGATCTTATTTGAATGTATAGGGTTAAAGATACTTACCATCAAATTACATTTATATTATATAGAATATATTTGCTTACACAACATGTTCTCATCGCAATTAACTAGGTGTTAAAATACATCGATAAGATGTTCTCACCTACGTCAGTTTTAATTTGTCGTTTAATTGAATATTACAACTGTGTGAACAAAAAAAGGTATTTATTCTAGGGTTGGTGGCAAATTGTGGTAAGTATATTATAAAACCGTGGATTTTATAATCTTTAACTTTAATATATGACAATACCAATACTGAAAATCCAGACTAAAAAATTAGGCTCATACATAATTAGATACGTTAATTCAATCACGGACACGCGTGTGTTCTAGTATTTTTTTTTATAAAACAATAAATATCTTACAATGTTAGAGGGGATTACAGTAAGGGTTGGACATTACTACATATCATAAACTCATATACATGTTAACTTGAGTGGGTTAATGATTGTCACGTTTATCCCATTGCTTGATTCTTAGGCAGACTGGAACTTAATTGCTTTTCTTAACATTACATATAATGGTTTATCTAATAATATATAACAAAAAATCTAACATATATTTATATGATTGTAAGTTTTGTCAAAGTACTACATGTAGCAAGACACATTACAACAGATATAAAAAAAAACATACCTTTCATATCAACAGCAGAAAATATGGCTGCAAAATGCCTGGTCACAATTGGGGTATTTTCTTGTTAGCACATTTAACTAACTTTATTGTACATACATAGATCCCTTAGAAAAGAAAGCAAAAATAGAGATTTTGGTTATCCCCTTAACTATGAGTTAAGACAAATACATAATTTAACTGTATAGATGATGATGGATAGCTGCTTAATGTCGAGCGGCGAATTTATATACATATTCAGAACGAGAACATGTAAATGCAATTTGAATATTAATCATGCTTTAATCTAGACCGATACGCTGAGCCAAATTTTTAATGTGCTAGTTCTGAAGGTAACAGTTCACAGGTAGACATTTCACCTTACCCGGACTTACTCTGTCAACATATTTCCCTTTATCTTACTGGTGATTCAGTAAAATCAATTCTTGAAGCAACAATATACCTCTAGCCTCTCTCAAACCTACTAATATCCAATTTATGCTTAAAAAATGTTATTTTTGAAATCTCAAGAAGAGATCTTATTTGAATGTACAGGGTTAAAGATACTTACCATGAAATTACATTTATATTATATAGAATATATTTGCTTACACAACATGTTCTCATCGCAATTAACTAGATGTTAAAATACATCGATAAGATGTACTCACCTACGTCAGTTTTAATTTGTCGTTTAATTGAATATTACAACTGTGTGAACAAAAAAAGGTATTTATTCTAGGGTTGGTGGCAAATTGTGGTAAGTATATTATAAAACCGTGGATTTTATAATCTTTAACTTTATTATATGACAATACCAATACTGAAAATCCAGACTAAAAAATTAGGCTCATACATAATTAGATACGTTAATTCAATCACGGACACGCGTGTGTTCTAGTATTTTTTTTAATAGCTATTAACCAACTAATAATTAAGAAAGTAAAGTGATCAGCCGTGCAACTTTTAAAATTAAAACGTACGATTTATTTTTTAAGGATTTCTGATATGATTATAGTAATAAAACCCCTGGAACCCTCCCCCTGGATCCGCCACTGCCTTCTAAACACGAATGTGTGAACTAAAAATTGTACTTTTTTAAATTAGAATCGGTAACCTTATATTTGAAATAGATAATTACCAATTGCAATTATATAATTTGGTCCGTCCAAAGCGATCTTTATTTACATATTCAGGAATTAATGTCCTTATCAAAATATCTCACAACGTATAAATACTTCGGCTATTTGAACAAAGATGTTTAAAAAGTGGACAGAACAATTTAAGGTCAACTTTGTCTCATTGGAATGGAATCGAATAATTACGAACAAACATGATTTATTTTTTTAATCTTTGTGTTTAAACCTGGCAACGTGCTGTTTATTATATTTCAATCAGTGTGCGGTTTCAACCCCGAGGCCTTTGAAAACTAACGTGAAGATCAAAGATTTGCGTGGATAACCTGGTATTTCAATAATTTTATAAATACACAATCTTATCAAATTATAAATAATAAATTTCTAGCTATTTTTTAACGAGATCAAAAGACGTCAAATCAGCTTATTCAATTAACTTTTTCTCAATTTTTTGTTTTCTTATGATTGGAACGTGGTTGTTTTTGTAAGAAGAAAAAAGTTTTATATATAAAGCCCTTTAAATGAATCTGAACTATTTTAGCTAAAATGTCAAGTTCAGAGAGTGAAAGTTTTGATAGTGTATCCAGCTCCCTAAGTGAGGCAAGTTTTGACGAGTGTGGTTAATTTGAGTACATACTAGAAACAGAGTACACTGAAGAGGAACTCCAACAGATTGAAGCTGCAGAAAATTCTAGACAGCAGGATATTATAAACAACCCTCGTCAGTTTGACACCAATTGGTGTTCATGTACAAACTGTATAGTATTGCCATTGCCGGTGGAATGTCTCTGTTGCCATGAATTTACGCTTTTTGATGAAAAAATGAAATTTGGTGATTGTGTCACTGAAAATACAGATTTGAGATTAGTTTGTCTAAACCCAGTTGTTCTTGAAACAAGTTACATAAGTTTCCCGAGGTTTAAGCGCCATAGAGGGAGAGCTACAGACGAACATACTCACAGGCAAAGCAGACTAATGGGTTATCGTCAGTTTGTTTGTTGGGTCAGGAAAGGTCACCCACTTGGCAAGAAACACAGAATTATTTGACATTTAAACGATTAACCAATACATTGTTATACAGAATGTTTCAGTTTAATTATATTATTTGTGTATTAATAAACTTATATATGAAGTTTTTCACTTCGATATCTAGCTCAATAGATTGCTTGTTGTTTATATAAACATGAAGTTTTGGTATACCAAAGTACCACGAGCTTTGATATGCATGTAAAATTAGTCTTATTCGGAGACCATCCCCAGTTTTTGGTGAGGTTCGTGTTGAGCAAGTTAAACCAGTTTACTATGATTTGTTTTTTATACCGTAGTTTGTCTTTTGATCGTTTATTTTTTTTTTTTTTTTAGCTCGGACAATATTAAACACTGACACACGGACATTTTGCTTCTTTGTTGCTCGAAGCATATATAGTATTGTAAATAAGATGGGTAGTCATGTAAAAAACTATC